TGAGACATGCACTAAGGCATTTGCCATTTGATAAAATGAATGAGAAATGCCATTCTGTTGTGAACATTTGCCAAGAGGTTTGGAGGTTTGTCTGTGTTATTTTGAGAATGTAATTTCTGTTTCAAGAAATGAGCCAAACCAATCGAGAAAAACTGTAGCAAACATGCCATATTATCCATATTCATATGGATAAAAAGTGTCTTTTTTTGCCAGCATCTACGAACAAATATAATTCTATGAAGTTCTTCTATATAGTGTGTAACTGTTATTACATTTATTGCTAATGCAGTCATATGGCACACTGACCTCTGAGGAAATTTTAGATGGCACTCATCATCAGAGAGGTTGCTGACCCCTGGTGTATTGTATGTACGGTCGGCAAGGTCAATTTCAGATGCAGGCAACTGCAACCGACAAAATAAAGGCATCCATTCATTCCTACAAGACTGCTAAAGGAAGTCATTCAATTAATTAATGTTTTAATCTTAAGCAGACATGTACCACAGGCCTTCAAGCTGGTATTAGTTGAACCATAACGTAAAAGACCCAGCTGTTTTAACTAATTGTAGGCCAATCTCCAGCCTTCCTTTTATCTTCCAAATCCTTAAAACAGCAGTTGTAAGCTAACTGATCATCTGTGGATGAATGGTTTATTTGAAGAGTTTGGGTCAGGTTTCAGAGCTCATCACAAAACCTAAACACTTTTAGTGAAGGTCAGCATTAAAGGAAACTTATTGTCCCCAGTGGGAAATTGATTTGCAGTTTGTCCACACACCGAACAAAACAAAACCCCCAAACAAGCAAAAGAGGAAGAACATCCCAAATTTTATCTGTAGCAACAAAGTGCAATGTGCAGTAGTGATGGCAACAACACTTATGGCTTAGCGTTATTGAGCATGACAATAGCAGCAGGTATAAAAGACACTCTATGTCTCTCGGTCTTCCCTGCGGCACTTTATGCCAGCGACCTGAGGGAAACAGGTGAAAGTCTCTAAAGAGAGGATGGTTTGAACATGACATGACAGAGGTTGCCTTCCTCAGCACTGGGCTGATTAAAACAGATTCAATAAAACTTTTATAAAAAAGGTAATCATCTGAGATGAAACGTTAAAATCTCCTTAAAAAGTACAATCGTTGTTTTACCT